GGAAAAGCCCCATCCAGTTCTATACCTTACTATGTCAGATTCTCCAGCATCTGCAGTTCCTACTATCTCTGTGGAATAAGGTAGTTATGGGGGTGAGGGGGAGATAGGTGAATCTCTTTACTATTGTCTTTAGTATTATTCATGTTATGTTAACACGAGTGGTTGATAAGTTCAATGATCTTGTTAGTACAGAGAAGAATGAAAGACCAATGCCTCACCTTTTATATCAATAACTAGATCAGGTATTATTCCACTCAGTATGACTCCATCTGAACTGATGTTCCAGATATGAATGTCTTTGCTGTTCTGCACAGAGATTCCTAATCTTGAACCTGGACCGAGAAAGTTTCCAATCACATCCATGCAGCAATCGTCTGCCATCTGTGTAGTAGAGGAAAAGGCAAATAGGAAAATGGTTCAAATCAATCAGAGAGTTAGGAAACTGGAAACAAAATTTGCTAAAGAATTTCAGCAGGATTGGCTGCATCTGTGGAGAGAAAGCAGAGTTAATGTTTCAGGCCCAGTGTTTCAGGTCCAGAGATCCTTCTTCAGAAGGTCACTGGATCCAAACCATTAACTCTGATTTGTCTCCACGGATGCTGCCAGATCTGCTGAGATTTCCCAGTAATTTCTGTCTTTGTTTCAGATTTCCAGAACCTGCAGTTCTTTCAGTTTTTTGACTAAATTGGATCAACTGCATGTGGTGGCCACAAAAGGAAGTCAGAAATTGGGAACTTAATGGAAAGTTACTCACCCAATGACTCCTAAAAGTTTTCCCTTCATCTAAGAGGCAGGGATCAGGTGTGTGATGGAATAGTCACCACTTGCCTGGATATATGCAGCTCCCATTATACCATGCTGCTCACTTGATAGTACCTTACCCACCACCTTGAACATTCTTTCCAACCACTGCCCGTGCACAGTGACTGCAGTAGGTACTATCTAAATGAAGTATTGAAGCAACTTATCAAGATTCCTACTTCACCACATTCCAAACCTCATTCACCTCGAAGAACAAGGGCATTACACTCCAGGAAACAACACCTTCTGGAAGTTCCCTTCCAAGTCATGACTTGGAACTACATTACCATTCTTTCACTATCACAGGATACATAGACAGACTGCTGTGGTTCAGAAGGTGGTTCACTACCACTTTTTCAAGGGTGAGTTGGGAAGGACAACAAATATTGACCCTATGCTCATGTCCCTAGGACAAATAATAAAGCACATCTCACAACTTCATTTAATAATTGAAAACAGTTAAAGATAAAATTCATACATGATGCAGTTTTTCTTTCTTTCCCTAATGGAAATCTTTGTAAGACAATGATCTTTTACCCCTACCCAAAATTAGCTGTCCAATAAGTAGAATCATTTTTGGGAATGGAGAGTGGGAGGAGATGAAGGAGGAAGAAGAGGTGAGAATTCTAAAGAACATCCTCAAAATTAAATGAGGAGAATACGTTTGATAAAGTT